GTGCGATCTACAAACGGATGAACCGAATTTTCACACCGAGATCTGATGGGACATATTTGGTGGATGAAGAGTTTGTTCGCAAGTGGACAAATTTAGACACCCGTGACGAGCTCAACATCTTAGTTGAGAAGTGCGACTACCAACCCGACACTAGATTGTTTTTAGTCCTCGGTTTTACAGTGAATGTTGGGTAGGGGAGCGTGCTTTCCCATAGCTTGCTATTCTTGCTGCTTCTGCTCCGCCCTGATTCTAAGGAACAATTTATTCGGCGATGTCGCCGTATCACGCAGGAGATTGACGAATCGTGCTTGGATGTGGAACACCAGTTCCTGACTGTAGGGGATATGGAGGAGAAAGGGTACTCGCAGTTCCTCATCTTGAAGGAAACATTTTATCAGACAAATTTGCCACAAAATAATGGATCTTTTGTCGACTTTTTTCCACATTGAGTCACATTGTCTACTTTGATCCTTGGGTCGTGCTGCTGCTACAAGGTCGAAAATCGATGGCATCAAGGAGTTCTGCAAGCAAGATGCTTCGCTGACCAGGACATACTTAGAAAAAAGTGGAACTGCACATACGACGTGGCCACTAGATGTAGCTCCAAACTTTCAATTTGAAACCAATGCCCCAGCCACAGATTTGGCAGGAAGTCAAAGTACGGTGGCGGTGACATGTATTGGGTCGAAGTTGCCATCAAAGGCAATGAGAGGCCCGATAGCTGAACCATCTTCAAATTAACAGTGCTTTCAATCGTTTTGAACCTATTCGAAATCTTTAATCCCACAGGCATATCCGCCGCAATCTCCTCGAGAAGGAGCTGCAGTGGGACGAGAAGGCGAAGGACAAGGATGACCTTAGGACACTGGGCACATCGTTGGCCAATCCCACTGAGGCTTTGCGCAACCTGCTTCAAAGTTTGACACATGTCTTTCCATGACTCAGTGTGAAAAAGAATCTGGAAAGATGTTTCTCTTTTTTTCCCAACACTAAAGCCATATTGCAATACACCGTACTCTCCCCAATAGCTGTGTAAATATAATATACATAATATATATATACTATATTAAATATATATTCTATTATATTTAATTTAATTTAATGAATATATTTTCATCCCATACACTCTTCCAGGAATTGGCTATATATAGATATATCTTCCATATATCTTCCATATAATACAGAACATCTACCCCATAGACTGCATCTATTGACAGCTGAGGTGATTTGGATGATTCGGCCGCTCATGGGGCCGTTCCCATGACCCCGGTTGCTGCTGTGAACACGGACATCGTGAAGGCTTTGAGGCAAACAGGCTTTCCCGATGTTGAATCCAAAGCTACCCCGTCATCTTTGGCAACAAAGGTCATTGCCACCATTCAAAAGAGGTTGAACAAATTGGAGGAAATGGCAGGGAAGATCACAGATGTTGCAGCACCTAGTCGAACGGACCTCATGAATAAGACCCTAGGGTCCAATTTTAATGGACAACGTTTGCTGTCAACCCCTTCAACTCTGTCCTTTGGATGGTCCATGTGTTCAAACCAATCACCTGATTTGATGGGGTATAAGGATGCTGGAAAAGATCGTCAACATCAAGAATCTCTTGAGCAGCCAGCTGGACACCCTGAACGATCTCTACAGTAGGGGGCTGCTTGAGGGAAGTTCTGAGAAGTTCCTCAGCTGTGCTAGTGGGTGCCAGCATTGCCCAGTGCTCCCCAGAGGACCCTGCCACATCGCCCAGGATTGAAAATGAGATGAAGGAGACCATGCTCAGCGCCAGGAAGTTGCTTCACCCTGAGCAGAATTCTTTCAGCTCAAACTTGTGGCACCCATCACATCCCTAACAAACTCCAGGGTTTCCATGCCGAAGGTCTGTGGATAGCATCCTTTTGGAGCCACGAGTCAGGCCCCACACTTAGTACTTGGATCAATGAGTGGTGTTGCCCCACACTTTTTCACAGGACCAGTAGTGGAATTCAAATGTTCTCAGTTAGGTCGATCATCTCTGATTTTGAACGACTTCGCCAGAAGCGCCTCGCTGATGAAGCTCGAAATTCTGGACCGCCCAACAAAAGGCCAAAATGCAAGCCCAGACCTAAGCCGCAGCCTAAGGCTGGGGGGAAGGCTGCGGCAAAGAAAAAGGCTTGAAAAGGCCTTGGAACACTTGGGGTTTTGAGAGTCATACGCACGAGCTGACCACGTGTGACGGTTCTCTCTTTTGCTCCACATGTCACAGTACATGTGTGAAGGTCAATTTGACTTGCATACAAAGTCGCTCTTTGACAATCCAGTGGCCGATGAGAAAAATGTTTCAAAACCAATGTGGGATAAGTTTTCTGTTTTACTTGGGGGGATGGACTCCCTGTAAGTTCACCAAATACTTTGCCAGGTGTCGAACCTGACAATGCTGAAAATGGTCCGATGATGGAACACTGGGCAGAAGAAATGGGCCTGGGTGCCGGGCTCCAAGTAAAATCCAGATTCCAACTCGCAACGTGATTTCAACTTTGAAAACCAAACATGGGAATTCTTTCGTGCTTTGAGTACAGGGGACCTATGAAACTATTTGCAAGCCACTGCTATAGAATATGTTTGGGTGGGTCAGAACCGGAGCCCGTGCCAAGGCCACGGCCACTTCCATTGCCCGATCAGTTCAGGCTCGTCGAGAAGAGGTTCATGGAAGTGCAGCCTCGAAAACGGATGATCGGGTCAAGTGGAACGCAACACGGAATATCACTCGCATGCTGAACCGGGCCGGTATGGCCATAGAAGTACCAAGGGAAATTTTGAAATATGAAATTCAAGATGGATCTGTTATTGAGCTCCCTGTTGTCAAGCCTAGTTCTTGGTTGCAATTGATTTTGAAAAAGTATCCAGAGCTGCTCTTTCCTCAAAACAACATGGAAGAGGAGCTGCAAGTGTTCTGGAACCATTACAGGTTCATCCAACCCAACCACGAAATTTTCAAATCACCACCGGAGCAGTTGAAACGAACATTGCCGATTTTAGTTCATGGCGACGAAGGTCGGTATTTGAAAAAAGGGAACTACCTCATTGCGACCATAGAGATGATGTTGGGGTCTACACCTACAAAGCTAAAAGAGTGCTGTTGTGAGGCCGACCCAGTGCTGGAGCGATATCCTGAGGTGCACAATGATGAAGGCAATATCTTCTCTAGAAGGGAATGCGAAGTAGCATCCAAACAGCTGGTAAACCTGAGTGGAAACTGCTTCTTGTCCAAATACTTGCTGTTTGGCATGGCTTCTCAACAATACAAAGCTCATCCTGACTTGGTCCACCAAGCCATGGGTATGGTGTCGGAGGATTTGGCTTCGTTGCATTCCCAAGGGTTTCGTCTGGGATCCGAAAAATATTTTTGCGCAACTTTGGGGGTGAAAGGAGACCTCAAATTTCACTTTCAGATGGGGCACTTGACCCGCACATATCTGAACACTGGAACTACAAACGAAAATCCTGTTTGCTCGCTATGTCTAGCCGGGTCACCCGGATTTCCGTTCGAAGACTTGGGCCCATTGCCAAGATGGCAAGACACTATGTTTAGTGAGAAGCCTTGGAACCACGAGCCCGTGCTGGTTCAAATACCATTTCAACATGGGCAGGAGGAAGCCCTCTTTCGGTTCGATTGTTTTCACTGCTGGAAGCTAGGCGTTGGCCGCAACCTGGTGGGCTCAACTCTGGTGTCCCTTGCATTGCTGAGGTATTATGATTTTGACGAGGATGATACCCAGAATTTGCCTGACAGACTTGACCGCTGCCACTCCCATTTTCGTTTGTGGTGCCAGGCCTCCGGGAAATCCCCAGCCCTACATTATTTTTCCCAGGCCTTGTTCAACAGCCCGAACCAACGCAGCTTTCCATGGGCAAATGTCAAAGGTTCCGACTGTATGCTGCTGACATCCTTTTTGCTGTTTCTCGTCAATGTAGCTATCAAGAACGGCTCGGTGAAGGAGGGTCACCTTGTTTTTTTCAAGATCATCAAGGAGACGCTGCAATCTGTGGAAGTGTTCTTCAGCATACTGTACTCACATGGTTTGTGGTTGTCTCGGAAGTGCGGGCAAAGAGTGCTCCACCACTTGATGGTCATGCTGAAAGGTTACAAACGACTAGCCCATGAATCTGCAAAGTTGGACCTGGTAGCTTATTCGCTGAAACCAAAACTCCATTCTATGAGACACATTGCTGGGGACATCGAAAACCAATTGCGTTCGGGAGCTCCCAAAATTTTGAATATTTTGGCTTTTTCTTGTGAACCAAATGAAGATATGGTAGGGCATGTTGCTCGGTTGAGCCGCCGGGTGAGTGCCAGAACAGTAAACCACCGAGTTTTTGACCGCGTGTGCATTAGGATGAAAACATTGTGGAAAAAGAAACGGAAGCATTCTGGGATTTGAACATGGCCACTTCACCACGATTTGAAGTCTCGCTCCAGCCGCGTTTGAAGAAATTGAGCCAATGTTGGAAGCTGGGGGGCGGAGAGGGTGATGCGTGGACCAAGGGTTGATCTAACCCCCTTTCAAAGTTTCATTGGCAAACTCCAAATGGTCAATTTTGCATCAAGATGTCCAATCTGAAGGAATTGAACAAAAATTCTTGACCATTAGCATGTGGGCTGAAAAAAGTCACCTGTGGATTTTGTAGGTATATATATATATTTATTACTTATTGGGTATAACTAACCATTATAGATAAATGGGTAAAATCTACTTTAAAACTGGAGGGCACCACATCCTAGCAAAGCGATGTAGAAAAGACAAAGCGTAGTACCGGGAATGCATTTTCATTCCCATATATGCATGCACATATTTCACATCTTATTGATCAAATTTTGCCGAATTTTGATTGATGCAAGGAGCATCCCATATCCGAAAATTATGCTTCAATGAAGCTATGGGATGTTGAATGAAGTTGTGTTGAATGTATATACATCCTCATCCCATACATCCCAAATTATATTTTCAACGTGTGCACCCCAACGCCTCCGCAGAGCCATGACCGGTAGACTCCAGGTGCTCGCCGTGCGCGTAGCTGTGGTCGCCGTGCTCGCTGTGCTCGCCGCGCTCGCCGTGGTCGCCATGTGCTTTGCCGTCGCGGTGTGGCTCCATTTCCTCTGGGAACTTGCACTAATCGTCTGGGAAAAATGGGCAGAGAGCCAAGAAAAATATCTGAAACTTATACCTCAGTCATGTATTTCATGGTTGAAGCAACCAAATGACTTGAAGTGACTTGAATAGTGACAGCAACGCTTGGTTCACGGGTTTGTCCCTGACTTCTCAGTCAATGTCATTCACCATGAATACTTCACCGTGAATGACGCCACCTGGACGACCTGGTGGAAACTGCAATGTTCACCGTTGCCACCAAGCAACAAAAGCCATATCGAAACCAACAAAAAAACATTTCTGCATGACAACAACAATTTTGATATACCCAGCTAGAACATGGTGATTTTCCATAGTTAGGTGGAAACGTTTACCAGAGGATATAAAGATTTGCCCCAATCATCGACATTTATCCTAATGCCCATGAAAATCAACGCCACTAGGACCTGCCAACCAGTTTCATTCTGGATATTATCTACATGCCGCTTCTCTTTCGGCACCAGTCCTCAATTCTAAATGGAAACTTGTTAGCATTCCCCCAACAAACAGAAAACCCATCCCTGTTCTGCTCATCTTTTTTTTGCCTCTACGGTCTTTTGTATTTCTTTGTGATTTCCCAACCCCTAAGCAACTTCATAGTAACAAAGCTAGACTGAACAGTCGGACATGTTGAGACAAATGTGTGCAAATCTAATCTATATAATCTATGACATCTTTCTCTTTTTTGTTTTTTTGTCCTTGGAGGATCCCTAGAATCATTGCCTACTCTAACATTGGGCTCAGCTATCCGGCTCCAATACTCCACGGTAACTCTGTGGTAGACATCTTGATACCGAGAGGCGCCAATGGAAGCCAACTGACCCAGTTGAATCCGAACAATGAGCTCTTTATCACCTGCGTTGTCAAGTCTGCCCTTGTATAAGAGATGTGGAAAGCACCAAATATTTCAGTTTCTCAGGGGCATGTGCGGATCTTTAGACCTGCTCGTTTTTTTAGCATTTCAGCCTGGATTTTGTGGTGGCTGCCCCCTGTTGCCCCCAACAAAAACATTCCGTGCGACCCCAAAATGAACAGGTCCTAATCTGACTACTATGCTGAACTGAACCAAGGTCCAGTAGCCGCGATGATTATTTGGCTGGGTTTGTTGAATCATTCAACCATATTCCGAAAATGGAACCAGTGACCATAAATGTTCACATTTAAATCGGAAGATTTTCCAGAAAAATGCGGCCAAGAAGCTGGCAGTCATCAACCCTACGTGCTGGCGACCAGAGCTTTCGGACTGCAGGAAAGGCTCCAGGATTTGCTTGGACAAACTGCCAGTTCCATCCTGAGAGGCTGAGGAAATATTGGGATCATGATGTGTATATATAGGGTTTGCAAAATCAAAATAAATGAATGAATGAATAATTACATACTTAAAAGAATAAGTACACGACTATGGATGTATGTATGTATATATATATATACATATATTGGCATTGGGGTGTAATAATGTATACTGTATATATGCATATATATATATATGCGAGTATAGTTGCACACAAACGCACACACACACACGCACACACACACACACACGTGTGTGCGTGTGTACGTATACATGCACACGTATGTATAATGTATACCTGCTGCTGCATATATATATATACACATATACAGTACAGTGCACATATTTATTTAAATGTATATAGCCATCATCCACCAATATATTGTCAATGCATTATATATATATACACATGTCAGAATAGTTTAGTGTTCACAATCATGATCATATCAGTCATATCATATGTAATATTAAAATAATATATATATATATGTTTATTAAACAAATGAATGCAGTGTACATTGTAACGAAAATACCCATGATACCAATGGCAATTGTAGAATACAAGACCACACAGCATCATTTGCAGTACAGTAACCCTCAAACAACGTATGTCAATGAAAAAAACAATCAGCCGGATATATCCCACGCAAAGGCTCCAGCACAGCTTCCCGATGCTTGTCCGTGAAGGGGGAGATCCACTTCCGAGTTTCAGTGTATGCTCCGGGAGAGAGTGGCATCACAGCGGGTTCATCCTCAACCAGGAGGCTATCCAAGAAGGAAGGGATTGGAGCCACTTCTCTCGGTGGTCCTGGTGGCCCCGGCGGTCCCGGTGGCCCTGGTGGCCCCGGAGGCCGTGGCATCAAGCCTGGCGGCCTGGTGCTGGTGATACCGGGCCCGTGGCTCATCTTGTGTGCCATGGGTGCCGGAGGCGGTCCAGGGGGCCCAAGGCCTAGAGATGCCAATGGACTGGGTGGTCGTGGCACCTGGTCCGCCATCATCTGGGCCTCCAGCTCGGTGACTGACATGATCTGCCGTGCCGGTGTGGGCGGCGCAGGTGGTGGCGCCATGCGGCGCAATGCCGCCAATGCTGCCAGCTGTTGGGGGATGCCGTCAGGGCGCGGGAAGTGACTGAAACGACCCAAGAGGTCTGGCCTGGGGAAGGGTGGAGGAACTGTGGGAGCTGTGGCGGCGGCACAAGGCCAACCCTTTGCACCAAGCATGGGGTTGGGGCGAGGGTATGCTGGACCCGGATCAGGTCGCGACCCCCAAGGGAGTGAGGACAAGCCGTCAAAGAGGCCGGCAGGTGGTGGTTGGCCCTGGCAGGTGAGGCTGAGCTCGAAAGGAGGGGAGTCAACAAATGGGTGTGCAAACAACTTGGGGCCAACTTAAAATCACCAAGCAGCTTACTGTATATAGTTAGTCGAACAAGGAATCCATTTTTTGGCGGTTGAAACTTCAAACTACGATCAACGCTCGTTGTGAATGATTGCAACCTGAAAATCAACGTCACATCCACAAATCCCGGATTTCCATATTATCAATAGCAAGATGGTAATTATAGATTATATAGATGTAGAATTGAAATGGATGGCACCATAGATTGCCTTTCGATTCTTGCAGCATCATGTATGATAAAAACCTTGGGGCATCCAACTACCAATATAGCAAAAAAACAGCACGTATCTAGCCAACTCATAGAAATATTCCTCAGTGGAAACGGTGTGAGATGATCAATGGGAAGCTTCAACCACACTATCATCTGGCAATGGGGCACCCTGCTGCTAAGAATGGGATGAGAACCTGACCCGCCACCTTTCTACCATTTCCATCCATTTCCCATCCCAGCAAGCTCAACTAAACCTCCATTCTGTCGCATTAAAATGCATTAAATCCCCATCATGAAACCCTGGTGCTCCCGAAATTGCCAGCAGCACCAGCAAGGACGGTGGATTCTCCAGCCCCAGGGACCGCAGCGCTTCGAACGCCGTCTGTCGCGGATCCCGCGGATCACGAGGATCCCCACGGGGATCCCGGGGCCGGCCGCGCGGGGCATGGCGGGGCTCCTGCCAGAAACCCGTGGGATTTCCATCTGGATCCATCTGGTAATCTACACGTTGGGAATGGAATCTTAGCGGAATCTGAATGGAATATTGCTATATAACATCTGGTGATCTAACAGTTCGGCTATAGAAAACCTCAGTTTTAGGTAAATCATATCTAAATGGCAAAATGTTCACCAACATGGACATGGAGGACTGGGTAATTTCCAGGTGGTGGTCGAAATCTGCAGCTGAAACCCGTGTTCATAGCCACGATAAAGCAGTCCTCAGGCTGTACCTCAACAGAACAAAGCTGTCTTGGACATGACTTTAAAGAAGTATATCTCTGCCACTTTGACTGTTAGACTTGACTGAAAATAATGGGAAAATGGAAAAAACTTCAATCTGCTCCTGGTTGATTGTAATTTTTAGTACAAATTATATAAGTACCATAACTTGGGGTTACACTCCAAAATCTTCAGGTACCAAGTCCATTGACCTTTCTTTCTATTGGGGCAGTTCTTTGCATCTCGAAGCAGGCCCCGTCTCCTGTCCCCGTTTGCCCAGGCCAGGTGGTGGTCCGATGCTCAAACCTGTCAACCAAAGATGGCAGGTTCTTCAACCCTTCTGGCACTGTTAATCCAATAAATTTAGGACGATGTGTGTATAATGAACCCATATAAAATGAATGGAATTCGCGATATTTTTCTTAAAATGGGTAGGATGCCAATCCTTACAGTTATCCCGCAGTTGCCATCCTGGGCTCTAGATCCCTAGCCATGCTGTGGACTTCCTGCATCAAACGTCATGTTGCCCATTCTACTAGTGATTCGGGGTCAAACACCTTTTGCTTTTTAATGATCACCTGAGTATATATTGAAGCTCTTGTCACTTGCACAGGGGCAATCCTTCATCAAAACGGCTAAACAGCTGAAACTCACGCTTTCTCTGTAGGTTCACCAACCATGTGACAACAATGCGCCAACGTTTTGCCAGCAACCCCTCATTTGTTGTTGGATCTGACCCAATCGTTGGAAATATGTTTTGTATTTTTTGATGGGCATAAACAATATCCATGAATTTGTGAGCAAAATCGTCCATCCACTAGCCATTCACTAAGGCCATACCTCATTTTCCTTGGCCAAAATGTTGGTTCTAACCATTTCTACTCTAAAGAACACGTTCAGAAAAAAGTCCACCCAAGACATCCAAGACCCCAAAGCAGAGTGGAGTCCTAACCTTCATCCGGCCCCAAGCTGGGGCTATTTCGAGCTTGCTGAAGCTCGCGGTGAAACGCCTGCATGGAATGGCTGGCAACAAATGGGGATGCCTGCCAGGAACCAGAAACATCAACAAAATTTTCGAAGGATTGAGAAATAAGTTGGTGGTTTCAACACCTGGACCTGACTATTAGTCGATTAGTCGGGTGGGATCATGATTTCGAGTTAGGATGAACGGGACACATTGTGTGAAATCATAAGGCATACACCCAAAGGTTCGTAGCTCGATGTAGCTCGGGTTCTTTGTTTGAGATGCTAGCAGCAGCCCGCAGTGACTTTCCCTTTCTTTGGGGGATATAGGGAGCTCCTTGGATCTTGCGAAATTCCAAAAGCACATGGCCAAAAACAGTCAACCACATATTGGTTGAGTCATAAAGTCAAAACATGAAAAGCCTTATTATGTGTCCTCCAAAATGCCAATGTCTATTTATGCGCGATTTGATATATTCCTCCACCAAAAATGGCAAAACGTCCGCCCATTCAGCAAAGAAAGGTTTGCTTACAAAACCTACACTGATTCTTTGTCCCCGAGGAACTCCGGCTAGGCACTCTGGGAAATCGTCACCGCAGCGTAATAACGGATTCTTATGCAACAGGCACGACTTTCACCACCTACTGTATGTATCACAAAGAAAAGAAACGTAGTGATCACTCTTGGGCCGGCTTTCGAGCATGGCCCAGCCAGATGACACCTATTTGGATGATAAGGTCACAAGTTCAGGTTACTGGGATAGATCTTCTTCCCAACTGAGTTGGACCCAAATGACCCTTCATGTTGGGTGCTGAACCCAACATTTTTTTTGATCAATCCCATTGAAATAAGGTGGTCAACTGGATTCCAGGAAAGTAAACAAGAAAGTGCGTGTATATATATATATATGTATGTGTGTGTATATATGTGTATGCACACACATACATACATACATACATACATACATACGTACGTACGTACGTACATACATACATACATGCATACATACATACATACATACATACATACATTACATACACACACATATATATATATAAATCAGAACCCACATGCAATACAAAAAAAAATACAAAATATAAATATACCCGCAGATAGACAGAATAGTTCTTTTAATTTGTGTAAACACATGCAATACATCATCTATCATTGGCAGGTGTCCGACATGGCTTTGAAATCGACCGTTCCCAAAAAAAATCGACATGCCGCTCCTCCTGTGCTGCAGATGGCTGCCAATCATCTCCAACCGGACTCGCCTCGGAGTCCCCGAATTTTACCCCATTTTTTGGCTGGGTTTAACTGACTTTGATGATTAAATCACCACATTTCATATATTTCATGGTGAAATCCACCAGTTTAATCCATATATTATCTATATAGGATCCATATGTATATATATATATATATATTATTACTATTATTATTATTATTACTATTATTTTTATTGTTATATATATAACCCACGTAACTCCATCCTTTTCCTATGCTTCACGGAGACAGTCCGGAACTGGATCGCCCAGCATCGCCGAAGGTATCATCGTTCAGGGCATCGGAGCCATCGGCTTCCTGCACCAGGGGTTAATCATCAAACACCAATTTGATAATTTGATGATTAATGGTGTTTAATGGATAATAATTTGATGGTGATATGATTGGTTGATGATTACCTACCATAGTGTCATAGTATCATAGTATTGTTTTAGTATATCATAGTATATCATTATCAAAATTTGATGATTAATCCCTACTGGTAAATTGGTGTCTGATGATTGATGATTTTACTGATGTTTGATGATTGCTGATTGGTGTTTACCAAACACAAATTTGATGATTGTTTAATGGTGTTTACTGGTATTACCAATCATTGGATAATGGTATGTGATCGTATTACTATACTATAAAACCACTAGAGATTAATCATTGGGAGTTACCAATCAAACTGGTGTTTACCAAGCACAGTACTATGGCGATAGTATTTATCACAGTTATATAGTTATATCGTATTTAGCAATTTGATAGTACTAAGGCTATATAGTTTGAGTGGTAAATACTATATAACTATGTTAATTCTCAATATTGATATGCGATAATTACCATTCATATTGAACAGTGTGGTTAATGCCTTAGTTGCAAACTACTAGGTACCTATGACAAAAATGTACATAATGGGATTATAATGGGATGTCTACCATCTGCCAACTGGTGCAAGATTTCTTCCATCCACAGTAGGGGTTAATCATCAAACACAACCAACTTATAGTGGTGAAAGACTATAAGCTTTGTATCGTTGATGATATCTGAACATAGTTGGTCATATTAACAATATGTTTCATTGGTTGACATCAAATTATCATCAAATTGGTGTTTAACGGTCAATATGGTGACTTTGAATAATAACTTATGGTGCATGGTGAATACCCTATATTTATCGTGAAAGATGGTGACACAATCATATTAACCATCATTAACCATCAAATAGCAGGAAACATGTAATTTAAGCGTCAAACAACCATCAAAGAACCATCACAAATTAGGCCTCTTTGATTCTCCAAGGCTATCTAAAAACACTCCAAATGGCAAGTGTTTTTTCGTTTACAGCAACCTCTCAAGAAAGATGCCGAAAAGTAATAAATCATACTAAGATATCGTGACAAATTGAACCTTCTCCAAACCTTGTTGTGGATTATATAACCCATCTCCTATCCCCCGATCAGAGTAACCATCCCCAATATACATGGCCCCAGTATGTCCCAGTCTGTGCAGCTGAGAATTTACTATATTACTATAGTTGGCTAGCTGTAAACATTGGTTGGTTAAGCCACAGAAAAATCACATCATCCCACCTGCTCTTGGAAGAGATCCAAATCATCATGCTTCGCACGCTCATTCCAAGCCATCACGCGCACGTGGTCACGTTACGCCGCTCTGGTCATCCTGGGCGCCGTGGTGAAGGGAACCCTGGGGCGGATATTCAATAGATAAACATGTGACTAAAGATCATTCACTTGCAATGGTTTACTCAATATATATATATATATGAGTTGACTAAAAATGACCAAAGTATATCATATCGATTATGTCATTGCATACTCACTCATGACAAAACACAGAAAATATGTATAAGCAGTAAAGTCAAAGTATTTTTACTTTACATGCTGGTAACTTCAACTGCAAGGCATGGCGGACTCCTTCATATAGAATCATTGAAAGCTAGCTTTTGTACCTCCTAAACGTCAACATGTTTTGGGGGTCGAAAAGAGCTGAGCGCAATAGCATGGCAATGGCAAATCGCACATTCATGTATGTTCTGCCTCTTCAAAAGGGTTGTTTTTTTCAATGGGCATGTTTCCATGGATTGCTTTGAGAAACGGAAATAACATTCAAGGACATTTCTACTTACAGTAATGGATTTTAACGGTGGGTTCCTTCCAAAAAAAAACCGTCAGTTTCCCAATACAAGGAAGCCGTGTGGTCGTTGGCCTAGGCTCGGGCCAGATCGCCCGAGCGGTTCACTTCTCCACTGCGTATGGGCTGGCCTTGGGACAGAGGCGTCACTGTTAAAACGATGAAACTGATGGGCGTTTGCATCCAACCATTCTCGTAACTGTGGGCCTCAAAGCAATTGAGAATTAGCACAGCCTTTCCCTAGCAGTACTGTACCTCACCAAAGTGTGCTCGGTGCTCAACAAAAACCTCCCCAAGAATTGGGTTTGAAGCATAAGAAATAATGATTCTATTTTATTTGGAAACCTCTATGTCTGCTGTATCAACTTACAAATTCAAGCTTTCTATAGGCCAAGAACCCACCTGGCACTCCGGCTGCCGTAAGCCAAGTTGCAGCAACCCATTTTGATTTGCATCGCATTGTTTTTGGGCCCAAAAGCTTGCAGAGGTCAAGGGGCGTCATTAAATTTGGAGACCCTCTGGGACACAAATCTGGAACCCGGACGCATCTTATGATAGAACCTCTAGCCTTCTCTTGCCTTCCTGCCAGCTCATGTTTGGAGAGAGGAGGTGCCATAGAGGAGAGTATGAACCGGGCCAGAGTCAGAGCACATCACGGTTCAAACATTTTCAAACTACATCAAGCTATATATATATATACTATACCAGGATACCATGTTCATCAATTTTGGCTTCCTTACAGGAAAACATACTTAAACACCCAATGTAGGTCTGGGTCAAAAATTGGCGCCATTTCGGTGGCACAAGTCTGGCACTTCCTGGATGTTGGGTGTTGGACATGTTGAACCATCGATTTCAGGAGTCAACCAGTTTCAGCCACAGCTAATTCCGCTTACAGGCTTGGAGTCACTCTGACCATGGTTCCTTGGCTCCTTAGCTTCCCCAAATCTGAAAAGAATAGTGCTTAGTGGTTTCTATCCAAAAGATACGATTTGGATCATCATACCAAATAAGGTCGAAAATGACAAAATGATGTATGTACATGTATGTACTGTAGTCAATCCTGGACCATTGTGTTTTCATGGGTTCCACCATATTAACCTATTTAATTGATGTTTGAGGTTGGGTTGTTTCAGGCCGCCCCTCTCCAATGCAATGGGCATGTTGCCACCACAGACCCCATGAGCTTTGTCCATGCGTGCGCAGTTCGGAGACTTCGGGCGTCCCGAATGCGTCTTATTTCGCATGGCACAGGTGAAAAGTACCTGGCGGCAGCGGGATGCGCAGATTTTGGGGGTCCCAAATAGGGCCTATGGTACCGACACTCCAGCGATGGCAAATCCCCACCTGGTGGCAGCTAGGACACCTTGCTGGATCCGCTGAAGGGCTGCATTAGCACAGAAAGTGTATAAATGCTGTTCATGATGCAAATAGCTTGTAAACAAAGTTATTCATAGGTTCCCTTTTTCGGGCTTACCATCAATGGGGATCTCATTTGCTGCACATGGCTGTGAACTTCATTCGGATCTTTCCAAACAGGTCAAACTTGGTTCCCTGCTCAAAAATATGAAGGATGGATCATGTTCCTATAATTCTAGGATTATTCGAGGGTGCTGATTTTGGATCCTTGTCGCTGGACTTTATTGGAACCTATTGAAATGGGTCAAAACTGCCAACCATCCACCAAAAAACGATTCGGCCACTGCATATACAACATGGCAATGGGATATTTAGCCTTACATCTTTCTTGGGCAGCCTTAAACTGGAAATCAATGTTTTTGTTTCAGTTTTCCATTTTCATTTTCATATTTGTTCATAAAAATATCATCATAGGTTCATTGCCAAAATGGATTTTATTGGGATTTTCATTTGGTTTCATGGCATGTATCTTGTTCATTGGCCATGAAACCAAATGAACACCCCAATGAAAATCCAAATGAAAATTAGTTTTGGCAATAAACATACTGTATAATTATGTTTTTTTTCTGAACAAAAACGGAACATGAAAAAAAACTTCGCCCAACTAGAGGCTGCAAGATTTTCATGTTTAGTCAACCCGGCCTTGAATGCTGAAACTGGACTCATCTCATATCCAAATTTCACGAACCGAGCAAACAGCAAAGGGACGCAGCCCACAATAGGGACAGAGTCAACCTTGACTGAAGTTGGCAGGTTCTTCGGGCCAAATTACAAATATCGTACCGACATGACATGTTGGCTTAATTCCACATGGTATCCGATATGAATCCTATAGACCAGAGATGTATGTAGTACGGCGTTTTCTGCTCTTAGAAATGGAATGGTTCAGCATTTTGTAAACATGCCAAAATATGCCAAAATCAATATTGGTTTCCAAGCCTGCAAATGTTTACCCAAAGGCACACCAAACCATCACCCCATGAGGGCCCCAATGTTCTGCCACGATTCATCCATCTTTTGACGGTTTCCGGGCCGCTTTTGCTTCTTCCTGGGCACTTCTACCATGTGTGTAGATGTGTCTGCACATCCGTAAATATCATGAACAACAGCAAAAAACAACAAAAACAACGAAACACCAAGGACAATCTAAACCTCAACCTCCACCTAAACATACAACTGGCCGAATTTACTAATTCACACGACAACTTGCGATATTTTGGGCCATTTCCCCATAAATCGACCATCATCTATGGTTCAAAAGCCTTTGATACGCCCGTCTTATTGGGGGGACTGGTTGAATCTGCATGATGTATATGTACTGTAAATGAAATCATATATAGACATATGATGACAACTGTATATGTATGCGAATATCAGTATATACATATATATATATTAATATATATATATATCCATCGATCTACCTATCTATCTAGCTACCTATCTATCTATCTACCTATCTATCTCTGTCCATCGCTGTCAGTGACTATAACGGTTGATGGTTTAAACTCCCATTTGTTGAGGGACAATCCTCAGGTTACAGTGGGTATGTAAATGTCATGTCTTAATGGCTGGTTAAATGGATGTACATGAAAATAGGGCACCCCCAAATCCCATTATGCTGGTGCGATTTCCCTCAACTAAACAGTGCAGGAGGTAAACCTCCCATTTTCCCACACACTGAACCACCATGGGATGTTGATAATTATGATTAATTCTTATATACCCCACATCATCTCACACCGATATATCATATATCCATGAATGATATTCCCATCACATCTTCAGCAAATAACCCGCCATACTGAAGTCACAGTTGGAAATAACCCCTGCCACTATGCTGAGACATATCTCCTGGTTCACGGTAACTGCATCCCCAAGCAGTACAGTTCAGTGCCAGCTACAGTTGTAAGATGCCAGTTGCACTTCTTACTACATATGTGCGACGGTCAAAACATGGTACTGATTCCATGGTCATCAGATTATGTGGTATCGCTCCTCAAGGCTCCCTATCGCTTCACACAGTGGGAGCTCACTTTTGGCGAAAAAAAAGATGGATTATATAAAGATATCTACATATGTATATGTATTTCGAGAAAAGTAGAATATCACGTCTATCTACACTAAAGTAAAAGTAGATGGCTCAACTCAAAAACCAAAATACCCATAAGATGGCACCGCGCGCTGAGAAAGAAAACGGCGCTATTTTAGCTGGAACATAAAACGAGGTCCGCCAATTGAAGAAAAAATCGCCCTACTTTAAAATGAACAGGTAGATGGCGCAACTGCCACTCCAGTAGATGGATATAAGGGTATTGTTAACTAAATTTACTACATTTCCTATCATTTTTGTTTGTATATACGGTGAAATTGCACGAATTTGTATTGTATAAAATGAGTTGCGCCATCTATGTCCCTTAAATCCCATTCAAACGCCAGAATCATTTTTTCGGTGAATTCAAAAATGAATTGCGCCATCTACGTCCCTTAAATCGTATACAAATCTTTCAAAATTTCAGTGCCACGCCTTCAAAATTTCAGTGCCACGCCTTATCCCAAGACAGAAGGCAAAACCACCAGGAAAGACATCAGAGTTGTCCCTAGACAGGAGGCAAAACCACCAGGAAAGACATCAGAGTTGTCCCTTTTTGGGACATAGATGGCGCAACTTCCGTCATTTTGCCAGCAAAGGTCGAGACGCTTTAAAACCAAATTTTAACAGGTGACCTGAGGAACCGTTTCTTGACGGCAAAAACGGTTCCTCAGGTCACTTGTTAAAGTTGGGTTTTAAAGCATCTCGGCCTTTGCTGGCTCAAAATAACTTCCGTCATTTCGCCAAAATCAGGCTGGGAATGCCCACATAGATGGCGCAACCCCGGGAGTTGCGCCATCTATGTCCCAAAAAAGCAGCTTGATGTTGAGAAAAAAAAATGGGGAGAAACCAGCGCAGAAGATTGCAAAATATGTCATTTTCAGGGACATAGATGGCTCAACTGCCCTGTTTTAAAGGGAGTTGAGCCATCTATCCCCCATTTTTTTTTGACATAGATGGCGCAACTCAAGATTCTGAGCCATCTACTTTTACATTAGAGTATATCTATATATATATGTATAGATAGAATATATACCTATATGGGGTCGTTCAAATCAGGTGAGCAAGCTGGTCTAACGTGCAGCGGTCCGGAAAAGCAAGCACCCCAAACGCACTCTAATTGTAGACATTGCGGTCCGGAAAGACATGCAGCGGTCCGGAAAAGCAAGCACCCAAAACGTACTCTAACTGTAGACATTGCGGTCCGGAAAGACATGCAGCGGTCCGGAAAAGCAAGCACCCAAAACGCACTCTAATTGTAGACATTGCGGTCCGGAAAGACATGCAGCGGTCCGGAAAAGCAAGCACCCAAAACGCACTCTAATTGTAGACATTGCGGTCCGGAAAGACATGCAGCGGTCCGGAAAAGAGGATAGCACGAGACACAGATGGAGACAAACAGAAGGCGAGAGAGAGAGAGAGACAGAGAGAGGAAGAGGGAGAGGAGAGAGAGAGCGCGTTGTAAATGGTGAGCAGCGGGTGTTTCAGAGTGGTTTCAGACCGGTTTCAGACCCTTTTGGGGGCGCTCACGGGGCTTTGCTCTTTTCCTAGAAAAGAGGCTGAACTTAATGCTCCGGCAATGAAACCAAAACAAAAAAATCAACACATCATTCCTGCAACTAAAAACCGAAATAAAGCAATGATGCTGTAACCGAAGAAACAAAGATTCTGAGATGGTGAGCCGGAAGGTGTTTCAGAGTGCTTTCAGACCGGTTTCAGACCCTTTTGGGGGCGCTCACGGGGCTTTGCTCTTTTCCTAGAAAAGAGGCTGAACTTAATGCTCCGGCAATGAAACCAAAACAAAAAAATCAACACATCATTCCTGCAACTAAAAAACGAAATAAAGCAATGATGCTGTAACCGAAGAAGCAAAGATTCTGAGATGGTGAGCCGGAAGGTGTTTCCGAGTGGTTTCAGACCGGTTTCAGACCCTTTTGGGGGCGCTCACGGGCTGTGCCCTCTGTCCGGAAA